AACAGGTACACTTTAACCTCCTACTCTGTACTGGATAGATATTTTCCTATATTCAGTCATGCATCACACACACAACAGTCCATCATCTAACACAGCACTATGTGGCACTCTGTAGACCTTTCTGTAACAGTTCTAACATCATGGGGTATATTGGGGTGAATTCCTTCCCTTGGCGTGACTTCACATGTTGGACATAGCCCTCTAAGCTTCCCCTATAAAACAAACAGTTGGTGTAACAAAAAGAAAAGTACAAAAAAAATGTTTAAATTGATTACAGAACTAACCTGCAAGTATTCGTAAAATTTGTTTTTACAAAATATTGTAACAATTACTTTGTACATTTACATACCAGGATTTAAAAATAAATGTTGACAATATTTTGAACAGTATTTTTAAACAGCATAAAAAATCTTCAAATTTCAATGTGAAATCTTATGACTTACAAGGAAAATTATGCAAAAAAAGAGCATGATATTGTATCTTAAATATATTATATCCTTACATCTTTATGAACAAACAAGATCAATTCACAGTTTAAATATTTAAGTCAGATACAAAACAGAATTAACAGTACTAACTTGATGAGTGTGAGTCGGTCTTTCTCAGATGGATGGCTATCTAACCACTGCGAGTAGCGACTGACAGACCAATCAGCTGCCTACAAAAACAACGTATTTTTTTTTTAAATCTATATTTTCTTTTTAAATATGATAGCTAAAAGTACATTACTGTAATATCTAAATTCAAGCACATAAAAAATACAAAGAAAAAAAATCACAGCCTGCGTTTGTCATTGAAACAATGAATTGTTTTTCACCTGCAACCTGTCGGAAACCCAACACCATCAGTACAAATAAGCTTCAATTGAGGATGGAAAGATTTTCTATTTACACAGTTTTAATTTATACATAAAAATGTAATCAGTAGGACTTGATTAAACTCTGGTTTAGGTAGATTTCCTTATTATTTTGAGATCAGTTTAGAAAGGAATGTATTCAGTAAAAGGAAAATATATACACTGTACTAAGAAAGATGTACACATTCATGTTTTATTTTCATGATTTCAAATACAGTTTGTTTACCAGTATAAATGTAATATAGCACTTCAACATTGTAACTTGTCAACTGACATAAACATTCTATTTCTAAATCTTGACTTAATTACTGACCACACCCCTAGCTCCATTGTGTTAGCAGTTCATCGACTTAAAATGTCTGCAGTTGAAACAGTTTAGATGCCATTAACTTATAAAACAGCATAATCCCAAGCAACGGAGAAAAGTGCTGCTGACAAAACTCAGGCTCTTTTGATACAATTAACATACAGCTCGGTCAAAAACGACTTTATTCTACAGCCATATTTAACTGAAAAACACAAGACCTCCCTTATCTGTAAACCTCGTTAATCTGAACACCACTACAAACGTTGGGGAGATGAATACTTGTCCTATTGTTGGCAGCAGTAACTTGACTTGAGTAGCTGGAATGTGAATCTATTGGATGAAGGGGACATTTATAAATAGGACACAGAACTTTTGAGACTAAAACTGGATGGTGGGACAACAGGATTAGAGGTAAATAGATTTAGGTGACTTGACTGTCATTTTGATAATGTTATTAAATGGTACTTACAATATGTGGAGACCGGAGTTCAGGGGGAGCCCCTCTGGCAAACAGGAAGTGTAAACATGTGCTGTAGGGGATGATGTCGCCCAATGTTGGACCCTTACATATGTGTTCTGGTGTCTGGAAGAGGAGCGGCCTGAAACAAAACAAGCACAATCTATTAAACACAATACTAGTATGAACTTGTACTGGTGCACAGCATTACATACATACCCTTAGTACATACATTCCAGGATGGGCAATGAGCTAAACACCATAACAGGTCATCTAACTGCATCATAACATTTAACTGATAATTCATTCATAATCAGTTCAGATTCAATGTCAAAGTCAATGTATGTTTGAAATTACTTATTTCTACTCCAAAGTAAGAATGGAGACAGCAAGGTTTTAACATCTGATATGAAGTATCTTTGCAGCTACATCCTTTCAAACATGTTTTGCTGTAATTTTCCATATAAAATTAATCCCATGTACAAAGTAAAGTGACATTTCGCTTTTAGTAATTATTGACGATGGATTACAGTGAACAGTCACTGATGATCATGAACAATAGAACTGATCATTAATAATTGACGAATTCTAGACTTCATCTCTATCTCCTGCTGCTTAGGGGACACTAGAGAAACCAGGACTGATCTGCTGCCCCTAATGTAAAACTTAGGATCTATATTTTATCAGTTCCCTATATTTTCCTGTCAGTCGCATCTCCCTAGGTACCCATCTTCAGATAGCCTAATAGTTGTTGCCTGGACATTAAATCCAAAACAAACAATGGCCTTGCATATGTGTTGGTCATGCAAGTATAATTCAAAGCTCAATATGATAAATTATGGCATAGATGAACTGCAACAAGAAGAATTGGCACTAGGGGCCTGTTTGTTTATGCAGAACAACCGGTTTGTCCTTTATAAATGTAATACTTTTCGGGTATAAATCCTGGCGGACCAGCAAATGTTTATGCAGGTCTCTTGCAAGGCTTTGTCAAGGATCGCCTGAAAGCAACTTAAAAGTTCGAGGTCCGACCTTATTTAATAAACAAACAACTGTGGTCCGACCGTTTAACTGTTTAAACGAAAATGGCCCAAGTTAACAATGTCTCGGTTTCGGTTTCATTCAAAAAGGGCAACGTGATAAGGTCACTGTGGTGCAATTTGTTGACACTAGAGCTTGCACAATAAGTATTAGCACAGAATTAACAACAGCTTGAGAAAGTGTTAACACTATAATACCAGAGAATCAATAGTCTTCTATTTCTTATATGACTCCAGTCTCCCGTGTTTAAATAAGTTGGTTTTGCTGCAACTTAAAATTGCCTCCCAAATATATAACACAATGTAGTGCAGTAAGCTACCAGAATATAATAGAACTCATTGAATTAAATATCTGTCATTGAAGGGAAATGTTTTCTTTCCTACCTAAATGCCCTTAAAAGCCTGTAATCTTTGCCGATATCGGACACCCTTTTACAAAATGGAGAGATAGCCAATTCCATCTGGGCAAAGTCTGCAGCAAGTCGCATCTTTCCGCCCTCCCCCAGGGGGCGCACCAAACTTGCGTGTCTCACAAACAGCATTACACATCGACTGGCTATAGGTTTGATGCTGAAAAATAAACAAAATGTATTGAGACACTTTCAATAATTTATCTATATTCTTGTAACATCTGAATGTTCATTTTACAAATAGGGTCACTTCATTGAATTCAACCAAATTATAATAGGTTTACTACTAGGTACATTAAATATCAAACACACCTAATACAGTGTAAGAAATTAGTTTGTTGTAATTTTCTACTAATTGACAAAATGCTGTCAGGATTGAAAACTTTGTTCATAAGCATGAATTAACATATTAACAATAAACCTGTGCGTAGTAAACATGTTTTACAGTAATCATAGGCAGTATGGACAGAAATGGTTTTAAAACTACGGTAAATCCTAAATTTCTAGACTAGTTACATCAACCTCATATGAAATGTCTACCAGAGCTTCGATTGAACAGATCTTCAATCACACATATGAAATCATCAGTATATATTTGTATTAAGTCTGTATGTATCTGAAGAAAACTATGTTTGAGTACCTTTCCATGATAAACTCCAGACAATCATACTGAGATAGGTAGTCCTTCTGACACCTGGTTACAAAGTCCTGCAACTCACGCATGTACAGAGAGCACTGGGCCTCCTTCTGAGTGTCCGCAGGCATCGACCTTCAAAAGAATTCAATATAAAATTCATTAATTTTAACCTTCCTATATAATGATACCCTATTTTATAGGGACTTTAACATGTCTGATCACTATAATACATAATATATAACATACTTACAATTTTATACAATTACTGACCTCTCGGAGGATGAAGGATTTATTATCCTGAGAGAAGGAAATGTAAATGGGGTGTTTCAATCTTAACATGAATTGTAGTTCAAGCTTTGCTTATAATATGTCTCAGTTTCCCTGTTTAATCAATATTTTGATTGCTTTAACAGATGAACTAAGATTGATATCTGCAGTATAAGACATAAATCCAATGGTATCATCTTGTATTTACCCTGAAAAATCCTCCTGGTGCATGGTGAGTATGATAGCCTCCACGGCGTCAGATATAGAGGACAAGAGAGGGTTAACTGCTGCACTCATCAGCGCCACCGTCACCTAGGAAATATCAACAAGGCATCACAAGTGATACAAACCTCCTCGCATTCACACATTGTGACAAACGTAAGGGGAAATGAAGTCGCTAGAAATAGTAACAGTGACCTTGACCTTCAACATAGAAAAACATGAAACACAAACTTCTTCAGGGTATTGCCATACTATACACCTGCATGAAGTTTTATGAAATTCCGTTCAGTAATGAAGTCGCCAGAGTGATGACAAAGTTTTTTCTAAAAATAGTAGCAGTGACCTTGACCTTCAACATAGAAGCACGAAACGTGAACTTGTTCAAGGCATTGCCATACCAAACACTTGTA